TCTCGTTAGTATTATGAAAGCTTGCCTTTTGGCTTAGAAATCTTCGACAGCTGCGGACGAATAACCATATTCACTAAATTTTAACGACCAACCTAACTTGAAGAAAGCCCGTGAGAACGGGTCAAACGTCGGTATTGTTCAGTTACCGCGCTGATCACAGTATCTTTTGCATTGTGTATAAGTAAACCGTGAATTACGCTATTTTTTTAGTGTGTCCACTAGCGCACGAATGAATTACTCTGTTTATGAAAATCTTATGATTATATAGTCTGGTGAAAACATGAAGTAATGATGATTGCTTATGCAGTGGCGGTGATTATCAGTGTTGTCGTATCGAATATGATGACAATTACGATGATATAGAATGACGAGGTTGGTGGAAAGTTATTTCTCTGATACCTGTATTTCATTCAGACAGAAGCAATTTATGTAGTGATGCTTTGATAATAACATAGATGATCGTGATATGAAAGAACACGTCGTAAATGTTCAACATTATGACGATGATAACAGGGAAATATAACAGCGATTATGATGAGAACATGGAAATTTATGTTGAACAGATATGTTTATAATCAAAGTAATAAGGATTAGTAAAACGTTGTAGATGCTGATTTAGGCGGATATGGAAACCATAATCAGAGCAATGACTACGATCACCACAGTGAATATGAATACATCGGTTGTGATAAACGTGTGGAACTAGATTTTCATTATCACTAAATGATTACTATTATGATTATGACGGGTGTGTTGCTTGGGATCCTACTTTAATGAAAAATGATAATGGTAGCAAAGAAACGCAGTGCTGATAGCAGTAACAGTGGTAACAGATTACATACTATCGATATGCGTCATGGTATTTTTAATTAGTCAGGAAGTGACAACAACGAATAGTAGGATTATCTCGACGAAGATAGTGTAATGATGATAGTATCGAAAGTAACGGCCATGATAATAGAATGATTAAGATCATAGTTATCGCGCCTTAATCGAAATAGTTCACTATTTTAGTATTTCATTGTCAGCGATGACAAGGATCATCATGGCATCCGAAAAGGTAAGATTGGATGTAAGAATAGCGATTATGAACATTTAGCAGGGCAGTGATTACGATGCAACTGTAACAGTGTTTATGATTGCACTGATGGCGTAGCTAAAGATGTTTAAGATTATGAAAACAGTAAGTACAATCCACGACGATGAAGACAGCACTAGGGCTGTGATATGACAGTTATAATCATGATAATGCAGTTAATAATGTAACAATACTAGTTTTAGGCGATTATGTGAGAAGGAATTCTTAGCCAGTGGAGTTGCAGTAATGGCAGGTAATGGTAATATCGACGAAGCATACGCAAATGGTAATGGTTTCGATCGCGATTATCCTAACGATAACAGCAGTGAAGAGTATAGCGATAACACTAAACAGTGCCATTATACTAACTTATGGCACTGGCAACAGTGAATATCACTGTTATGATCAAGATGAAATGTCGCCAAAATGGTCGTATCGTAATGTCCTATTCGTCGTTATAGTATTCATTTTTTAGCATTATTGCCATTTTCGACAAGTTGTTAGACTTTTTCTGTGGTGACCAATATATCATTACATTATATTATTCATTACACGTTATTGTCAATAATTATGCCATCAGCATCGTAATAGTGCATTTCGTGGTTTTTAACGTTATAATTATTATGCATGCCTTGGAAGATCTTGATAACAGCATCATCGCCATCGTTATCTTCTCGCCGGCTTATAGCAATTGATAGCTGACATTGTAATTGTCTTCATTTGTAATATCGCTGTTGTAATCATTTTGATCATCGTCGTTTTCGTGATAGTTGTTCTCGTTTTATCATCGATGCTTCAGTGATCAGTCATGATTCATATCGCAGTGGTACTCACTTTGTCCTTTTTACCATTATCATTATCATCACTGTCATCGTTTTGATTATCACAGTACCGTACCGGTGTCTGTAGCTTAATCTTATTTGTCATTTTCTTCCGTAGCCAGTTTGATTCTCATCTCATGTCCTTAGTAGACCTGAATTTCATGCTTGCCAGCAACTGTCATTGTCGACCGTCCCGTTGGAGTAACTTATTGAAAAAATGTTCTTATTCCATGAGTGGAGTCACCAAATAAGTCGTAGCATTTTCATAACGGACCGACGTTTCAGATGACTTGAACATTTACAGTGTTGAAATTTAGAATGAAGAACGAGGAAGGCAGCGGCTACGTTGCTTATGATAGATAAGTTTCAGGTCACTACCTGAAATATGGATTCTTTACAAGTGGTGTCGTTTAGCTCGCTAACCCAGTTAGGTTCCAATCCTGATCCTATTGCTGCCTTACGATTGATAGACTTATTCGCATATCTCTAACATCTTTGCCAGTTCAAAGCTTGTATTGCTGAAAAGCAAATTTCGATCATGTTACTGACAGGTGTCGTATGAATTAACGTGTAAAGTAGGAATGCCGAATTTTCGTTCCGGTGTATCATATCTGTTTAGTAGTTTCAGATGATATTTCGCATAACTCATGCCCGCAGCGAAACAACAGTCGTAACCGTTTTTATTTATATGATGTTCAGGCTTTGGTGCGGAAAGTGTTGACGGCGTCAGAGAAAACCGGCGAAGGCGCGAAGAAGACGAAGCGACCAGCAACACGCCAAGCGCTGTCGTACGTGCGGGTTGAAGCGAATGAAGATCGTCGACGTCGTGGTGAATGGACAGCAGCAGTATTTGCGCAACTCAGGCTAACGTCAGGTTCGTTCGCCAGGATGCAGTTGGAATCGCCAATTCCCCTCGAACGGCGCTGCAAGTCGTCGGCGGATCGAAGGCCAGTCCCCCAGCGCTGTACTACTCGGTCGCTGAAGAGCAACCCACTTCAAAGGACAACATGACGTTCGACTCTCAGCTGTGCTACGTCAACGAGGCGGGTGATCGAAGTACGTGTATTAGATGCTATCTACTTACGTTACTATGCTTGCTTGTAGTCAGCAGCCAGACTCTTCGTTAAGATTTCTTAAGCTTAATGTCTTCAATGAATCATATGGTTTCTAAGGTTAACACTATTCTGTATTTACTAAGTGTGCTGCACTAGTGTCATTGGCAATACAGTAAACTTAATAATACTACGTACATTTTTATTAGTGATTTCAGTTGTTGTTATTGTTATTAGTCATCGTTATTTGGAAAGCGACGGCTTAACAACTAAGTCTATCGCAGAATAACGATGTCCAATGTACAAGAAGGAAGTCATGGATCATTAAGCATTTACTGCTTTGTCAAGAGATATACTACTTGTAGGCAGCACATCGTTTCTAATATATTTTTCCAACTTTTGAACTAGTCCCGTTCGTTTCTCTATGGTACCATTTGAATTTGAGGATGTTGTGTAAGCAGTTCCATTGGTATTTATGCCGTTTCAGAACTTCACCTGTTTCGAGGTCGTACAGGATAGCAGAGAAAGCCGCTCCTTTCAAAATGCTAAACTTTGTTTTTATCACTATTGACCAGTCTTTTCTTACTCCGAGCAGACGCACAGAGTTTGTTACTGTAACACCAATGCGCTGATTAATATTTGAATCACAGCTTTTTCCATTCGCGACAGTTTAATCCAAGTAGGTGAACCGGCCAACTTCCTCCATTGTTGTACTATTATATTTAATCTGATGGGCGTCGGTTACAGCTGGTACCCTAATGACTTGTTTTTATTTCATAAACCTTTTTCGCTGTACTGCACACGCTGGCAGTAAGGGTTTCAATGCCACTGTTTAAATCGCTCACTTGAACAGCTTGATCCCCATCGTCAAAGTTAATCAGATAAACCGCTGGGTACCTGGAACTTCATTTTATCAATATCGTGATGCTCCTGCGATGCTTTGAATAGTACTTCATCCCATGACGTAGTGAACCACGATATTGACAGCAGTTTCGAAAAGGTTTCACTTGAGGAAGGCCTGATGAGTTGTTGAACCACTCCGATCAAACGCTTGCATTCTGGGCAGCAGATGATATTCTTTCTTAAGGGCCTTTCATTGGTCATACTTTCTTGTCAAGTATCTCATATTGACGAACGATTCTGTTGAGTGTCTAGTGATTGACAAAATCAGAGACTGTGCTGAAGTCCGGGAATATCAAGTACCAGTGAGACCGAAACCTACGGCATTGCTCGACTGTTCATCATTGCACGAAAATGTCGAAAAATATGCATTTGGGGATCCCATCTGGTTCGTCCGCAGAGATTTCGAAATTTCTGTATTTACTGTTTAGTACTGTTTAGTCGTCATAAGTACTGTTAAGTATTAATAAGCATGCCCTTACTAGAACTCCGGAAATACTGCCAAGTAGCAACCTACTAATACATATTTCCTTAGTAAGTATTTGCAAATACCACTGTGGGTGCACTTGGTAATACATACTATGTACTAATTAAATAACATTTAAGATTGTTTTTGATTCCGGGTCAAGAGTTGAGCGAATCGTGATCGTTCTTTTATCTACCACGTTTC